GAATTTGAAGGTGCACTAGATGGTGCACCATACGAATTTGATGGTGGACTAGGGGGTGCACCATATGAATTTGAAGGTCCACTAGATGGTGCACTATACGAATTTGATGGTGGATTAGGAGGTGCACCATATGAATTTGAAGGTCCATTAGAAGGGGCTCCATATGAATTTGATGGTGGACTAGGAGGTGCACCGTATGAATTTGAAGGTCCATTAGAAGGGGCTCCATATGAACTTGAAGGTATGTTTGAAGGTGCTCCATAAGAAGTCGAAGGTCCGTTTGGAGGCGCTCCATAAGAAGATGAAGGTCCGTTAGAAGGGATTATTGATATAGATTGACTAGAAGATGGTGCGTTATAACTATTTGTTGGTACCCCATATGATGTTGCCGGTGGTGACGGTGCTCCATAAGAAGAAGATGGCAATGATGGTGCTCCATATGAAGATGAAGGTTTTGATGGTGCACTATAGGAAGAAGATTGTGACGGAACGTTATAAGTTAATGAAGGAAAAGATTTAGAGGAAGTTAATCCAAATGAAGAAGATTGTGTTAGTGAAGGTGCTCCATAGGAAGATGAAGGTGGAGCTCCATATGATGGTGATGGTGGGGCTCCATATGATGGTGATGGTGGGGCTCCATATGAATTGGATGTCGGAGGTCCTTGTTGAGCTGCTGATGGTGCTCCATATGAAGACGAGGGGGGAGGTCCAAATGAAGGTGAAGAGGGCGCTCCATATGAGGTTGATGGAGGTGCCCCATATGAACTTGATGGTGGTGCCCCATATGACGATGATGGTGGGGCTCCATATGAACTTGATGGTGGTGCACCATATGTCGATGAAGGCGGAGCTCCATATGAACTTGATGGTGGAGCACCATATGAAGATGATGGTGGAGCTCCATATGAAGATGATGGAGGTGCTCCATACGATGATGATGGTGGAGCTCCATATGAGGATGAGGGAGGTGCCCCATATGATGATGATGGCGGAGCTCCATATGAGTTTGATGGTGGTGCCCCATATGACGACGATGGCGGAGTTCCATATGACGATGATGGTGGTGCACCATATGAAGATGATGGTGGAGCTCCATATGAACTTGATGGTGGTGCACCATATGAACTTGATGGTGGTGCACCATATGAAGACGATGGCGGAGCTCCATATGACGATGATGGTGGTGCACCATATGAAGATGATGGTGGTGCACCATATGAAGACGATGGAGGTGCTCCGTATGAATTAGACGGTTTAGAAGGAGGTCCATAAACAGGTTTTGGTGGTCCAAAAGATGGTTTTGTTGGAGGTCCATATGATGGTTTTGGTGGTCCATATTTTGGCTTTGGGGGTGGTCCATATACTGGTTTTGGAGGTCCATAACTTGGTTTTGGAGGTCCATAACTGGGTTTTGGTGGACCATATTTTGGTTTCGGTGGAGGTCCATATTTAGGTTTTGGCGGTGGGCCATAAGCTTGTTTAGGTCGTCCACTAGATTTTGGTGGTCCATAAACAGGTCTTGGCCTTGATTGTTTTGGTGGACCATATTTTGAAGGAGGTTCTCTTCGTATTCTTACATGTGATTCATTTCCAGCTTCTACTGCGCTGTAGACACTTATGAAAGTAGTGAGTAGAAATATCTGTAACAATAATAAATACTTCCTTAATTGAAAATCAATGCAAGTAGAAAATCTGCGGTTTAAAATACTATTGAAAATGTCAAAAAATCAATTGAAGTGAAAGTATAGTTACGAATAGTATTTCCTATCAAGGAAACATAAGTAATAATGATTAAAACGTAGATGACATTTTTGGAAACCAAAGATAATATAATTATTTTCAGACAAATGTCCTATTTTACATTTCTATAAAGATAAATTTGTATTATGTTCGTTTAACATGTTATTTATAATAATATACCATATACACACTACCTTTATATTTTCAAGAATATTGAATCATCATCTTTTTTTACATATTTGAAAAGTTATAAGATAATTATCATCAATATATTATTAAAGTATGTATTACAATTGTATTCAGAGACGTATTTAGAATTTTGACGCTTCGGGTACAGTTTTATTGCCACCCCTACATGTATACGTATATGATTTTCAAGAAAGGTAATATTTATTATCTACGAATTTTACGCGATCAACTTTTGATAGTATTATTATGAAAATAAAAATCGCCATGTGGTCACTGCGCAAAATTTTAAAACATTAACATTTTTCAATTGACGAATGAAAAAAGATGATGGTTACAAAAAAATGCTGCTACTCTTTGATTCCAAAAAAATCTACCGCCCGGGACGACGGTACTCACTCGCCCCCCTTTAATACGTCCCTGATTGTATTGAATAAATAGAAACAATTATATGATAATTTTTTTCTCAATATTGAATGTTTAAGATATTCAAAACTTATAACAGTATCAATTGTGTAATAGTATTATAATGTCCTGCATTCAGAATCATCTTTTAAATACCTTTTTCATTACTTTCAAATTTAAACCAATAATTCAACACTCGGAATCAGTAACATCTGATAGTAACAGAGATAGTATAATAAGTATAATAGTACCCAGACAGATTTTTTATTGCTTATTTTTACGTTAGCTTATATTTTGTTGCATTATAGTTTTTTTTCTTAAAAATATTGTTTAGGTTTTTATCGTATAGCAAAAATGTTGATTTTAATCATTAGTTAGTATGACATATGTGAAATGTTGTTTATACGTATTATATGTTTAACTATAATGTTGTAGGTATTATATGTATGTTTATGAAAGGTATTGAAACGGAAATGATGCTGATAAATAGTTTATTTCATTAATCAATGTTAATAAAAATTGCTTCAATATATTTTTGTTTTTAATTGTTTATATTTTATGCAAGAGTATTAAAAGTGACCGAAATATCCGTTATTGTTTTTTATAATATTTTTTAATTTTGTGGCTCATATGAAAGTAGAATAATGAGATCGGGGAATCGTTATGAATTACAGCACACAGATAGGTAGATATTCCGGATGTTCAAGACAACATTTCTGACCACTGGTACTGAATAAATAACTATAGTTGATGTTATGCTGACCTTCATTTACTGGCACCGATTCTTTGACCAATGTTTATGATCCCCTGTTTTTCTTCTTTCTTGTGAGTTTGCGAATAAGTAACCATATTCACAGTTTTAATTTTTTGTCAATACAAGTTACAAAAAGAAAAACTTTTGCTCTCAATAAGCATTAAGAGGTTCACATATATATGATATAAGTATATGTAATGTATTTAATTTATATATACATTCATTGACATATTGCAAATATTGGTGTTGTTTTCCTAAAGTAATCAAGAACCTGGCAAATGTTAAATCTATTTAAAATACTTTATAATTTTAACTTAATAAAATTTAACTAATTAAATTATTTAAAGTTAAGAACAGTTACTATTTAAATTAAAAGAAAACTAGTTTCAAGAAAACCGTTTATAATATGAAATTATGTTTTAGTTTTCTTATTGTGTATTTTTACATTCAAATAACCGTGTAATTCTACATCTGCACAGTGCACAGTTACATTTACTGAGCTCGTTTATACTATTGTTTTCGTCTTCTCATATTTTAATCTATATACTATTTCAATTTTTCAATGCGTGTATCGAGTAAATAAGATTTGTCTTTGAAAAGACAAATAAATTGCATTTCAAATATTATACAAACGATATTAATTGACATATGTGAAAAACAGAGTTACACTTTCACTGGAATCATTGTTATTCATTTTTATAGAACAGTATTATAATATAACATTGACGGACTATCTGTTCTATTATATTCAACTAAATAAAACATTTTGGAGTTATACGTTTTTAATACTTTGATTATATTAAAGAAAGTTAAATGAGATAATTACATATAATAAATCAACGGACTTTTTAATTAATTTTTTCTTATTTTATAATTCGCTTGAGTTTACAGTTTATATACGTTTAGTTTTCAAATTATTTATTCTATTTAGTTTTTCAATTTTATAAATTCTCGTTTCGACTTTAAATTTTTCTTAATAATATTTCCAATAAACAGAGAAATTAATAAGAATAATGCAAGAATATACACAATAGATAATCAAAAAATGTTTTTATAATAATTTAATAAATAAATTACAACAATATTAACAATGATTATATAGAACCTTACAAATCCTCAAGTATTTACGAATTAATACCATTTACTAAATATTTTATAATATATGCAAAGTTTGAGTAAATTACATTTTAATCCAATTTATTTTAGTTCGATATTTTGTTTGTATAAAATATTGAATACTTAAATACATTTTTATCATATGATTCACAACACTACCTGTAATTTATCTTTCATTATACGTCAGTATTTCCTTGAAAATTTAATAAATCCTTGATTTTTAGTTTTTATAAATTAGTATTTGAACATCGATTTAAAAATTATAATAATAATAATAATAAATGATAGAATAGTAGAACTCATGTTTAGAATGTTGATTGTTATAATATTGTACAAAAATATGATTTTTTTTAATCATATTTTCATTTGGAAGAAAATGATCAATTTATTTAAAGTTGTATCAGTTGTTAATTTAAACCTATTTTATAATTGATCATATCCTTTTTAAATTTTTTTTTAATATTTGTATTCATAGATTATTTTTTATAAGTAGGTGTCTATATCGAATTTTAAACACTTTAAATTTTTTGGATTAACCTGATTTTCGTTTAGAACTATCTATTTTTTTAATGATAGTTTAATTTCTTTTAAACATTATAATACATAAGCCTATTATTCATTTTCGATGATATATGCGAAGAAAAAAGAATATGGTAATTGTATTTTATCCAGAATTTATTTCCAATTAATTAGAATAATTTGTATTAATTTTACTACAGCTATATGTTAATTACAAATAAATAATCAGATCTGTATTTATGCAAATAAAAAACACTTAATGTTTTAGGTGTATTATAAAAATTATTGAATTTTAAATACTTGTATATTCTAGTTATATTTTAAAGTTATTCATAAAACAAAATAATATAAATGCACAAATCTATAAAAAATTGTTTTAATTTTTATAATCGTTCAATACCAAACAAATACATATTTATCAAGTATCAACTACTACATTTAAAAAAAAAAAAAAATTTTAAAAAAATCATAATACATTTTATGCAATTATAAAAAATAGAAATTCATTAATTCGTAGATAAAATAATAATTAAAATTTTATTATATAATTTTGTAATAGTTATTATTTAAATTCAATATTTTATATTGAATTTAAAATAAATGTATTTTTAATAGAATATACATCATATTAATTATGAATAAAGAAAATATCAGAACTGGCTGCATTATATTACTTTCAAAACCCATAATATTTTTGTAAGTAGGTATACTTTGTTTCCGATTTTGGTCTAAATACATATTTTAAATGTATTCACTCACCTGTAGCTTCTAGTATTCTATGTAATTCCTAATATAAGCAATTAGGTATTTTTTATTATCCTTTAATTAAAGTGCAGAGTTCAAAATGAATAATACATTAGTTACAGGTACAAGTAATTGATAACTAATAAGATTCCGAGAAAAACCGTGAAAGTACCTATAAAATATTAAATTCATATGTCAAACTAGAAATGGGGGTCTTCTTTCTTTTGTCGTAAACGAAAAGTGAAAACAAATAGCTTACCTTCGTGTGATTTATGTGTTTTTATTTATATGAGTTCTTATAAAATATTAAAATGTCTACTTTTGTGGGTTGATTTTCCATTGTACTTTATATTATATTTCCTTTATTTCAAGAGCTCAAAATGACTTGCTATTAATGTAAACCACGTGAATAATTAATTTAACTAGATAATTGTAAAAAAGTTTACATTTTTAATGAATGTTAATAATTGTTTTTTGCCTGTATATAATAATAGAACAGTTCTTATATATAAATAGAAAAAATTATTGTAGGAGGTATAGTAGGTGCTACGAGTATGATTGGATATTTTTTTAATGAAATATAATTAAATGTACACGAGAAAAATATTAATTGCAATTTAAATAATGTTCATCAATTTTATCACTATTTATCATTATTATTGGTTATCAATGATAAGTCATAAAATAATTTTGAACTAACTTACATCAACCATTTGTTGATTTCGAGGAGTTATTGATGGTAAACCCCGTTCTAAGTGATTACTTTACTTCGACTGATAGAGAAATTTAAATTATAACTTATAATTCAATAATAATATGTTGGTATTTAGTTCAGTGTACACGAATTTCCTTCTAAATCAAGGTAGGTTACCTTTTTTTTATTCCAATTGCCTCCGGGCTTTAAGGAAAAAATTCGAATACACTGCTCCCATTTAAACATTATACATTTAAACACTTTACTTGAATTATTGTCTCCCACGTAACATTACCCTAGGATATAGTTCATGTTTTGAATTGATACATCAACTATAATTTATTGTTATAAAAAATTTCGCATGTAGCATACACTTAACACGAAAAAACTTTTATAACAAGCAATTATCTTTAATTTGCTTCATATTTTTCATATTTCCCATTAATTATTTAAACTTAATTTTATTGAATGTATTAATTAATTATAATTTAATGTATGTTGGATCGATTCTGCGAATGACTTATTACTATTAATATGTGCCAATTAAAAATAAATCATTATTATTAATTTTAATATTTAATAATTACTATTTTTTATTTTATATTTAACTTTTAATATGTGTCTTGTTTTTCACAACATTATGGTACACTCTTTGCCCTAATAGGGGTTAATAAATAAATATCTGTTGCCATTTTAGTCTTTAAACTTGAAAGTATATACAGCGCATAAATAAACTGTTCAAATTTTATATATTTATATTTTATTGATCTACAATTATTATGTGCATATATTACTGATAGATATATTATATATCAAAGGCGGCCAAAATTTTTTCGGCTACGATCTACTAAAAATATACTTCACCTTTAAAGATCGACTTTCTTGGAAAAAAATTTTTATTATTAAATAATTATAATTATTATGAAACATACTTGCTTAAAGTGTATATAAACATACACAAAGTATTATAAACTAATTACTAATTACTAAAAATAATATATTATACAGATAAAACTTATCGACAATTTGTTAATAACCACCACGATTAATTTTCGTGCAGGTGGCCTAAAAATAAATTCTAACATGATGGACTCTGAAATCGTCCGCGATCGATCGTTTGACCGCCCCTGTTATATATTATGACATATATTACAACATATGTTAAGGGGGTTAGGTTAGGTTAACATACGTTATAATAATTTACGCGTGCGTTTATGGTATATTAATTCTATATAGGAGGCAACTCGAATGCGCTGATAACCATGTTACCTGTTTATTAATTTAAATGGTTTTTAATTTTTTTATAGTTTATGAATTTACTAATGGTTATAGTCTGTTGTCTAGTTTAAATCTATATTACCTCATATAGATTTAAATAAAAAAACCAATAATTTTTATCATGAATTTTTAACTATGTTACAAAGCTCCTCTTTGATTTCATCATAAAAAACCAAACTTTTTTCGTATTAGTTACAATTTTTTTAAATACAGTTAATTACTGAAAAATAGTGATGTTTGTGAGGGTTTTTATAGGATTTGAAATGTGAACAATCAATTTCAAGTCTAGGGCGACCAGCTAATATAAACATTTATAGAATTTTTGTTGTATACGAAACAATTTTCAAAGTTTTAGATTTTGCTATTTTAAAATAGTTGTAGCAAAAAAGTCTTATCTGTTGTGTGTTAATAATTTTGATAAAATTGATTCATATGTATCTTTTAAAATTGTAATATTTTTAATTTCTTAAAAAAGTCCCAGAGTATTTTGTATTAATAATCTACAAATGGAAAAATGTATTAATTTAAATTTAATTACTTTAATTTATACATCATGCATTTATTCTACCGTTATATAAATAATTATTTTATGTATATGATATTTCTTCAATGGAGCTTTACGCAACCTTCGTAATTTACTCGTTTTGATTAAATGTATTTATTTTTTTTAAAGTTTATCATTGTTAATTTAACTATCAATTTTATTATTAGAAAAATATCTTGTTTTATCTTAATACTATATTTATATTAATTATTTTAACTTATTACAAGTGTATACTATAGTATGAGTATACATTTTGGAGATCAATTATTATTTCTTGTAATTTTTATTTAAATCATGTGCGTAGTCTCAGTTATACTCGTAAGTATCCTATCCTTTGTGTTTCAGAATATTTACTATAGTCGTATATATATTTGTTTGAATTATTTTTAAAAAATTTTAAATCGTCTAGTTATTAATTAGTCATATACGTAGTTTTTATTTAATGGAATAAAATGGGAAAAACTATATTATTTTCTTGTAGAGTGTTGTAATTTTTAGAATAAATGTCATGTGATTGTGTTGATACATTACAATAAATTTCTACACTTGTAATTTCACTTAAAAGCTTAACTATCCGTTTTTTATTATTTCTTGTAAATAATAACATACATATTGTATTACTTGTATAAAAACTATTAAATTACTTTTAATTCTTCAAATAAAAGTGTTATCACTGGGTGGCTTCTTTATCAAGCTTTATTCATGTCATTAATAAATTAGCAAATACCCTTATTGGTGCCAGTATGGCACAGATTGTGTGTGTGTCAAAAAATTACTTTTAAAAAATTAAATAGAAACTGTCTGTAAATAATCGAATATATTTTTCTAAATTGTATTACTATAAATTATAAAACTATTAAATATAACTAAAATTGGTTGTAATAATGAACATTGGTGGTTTTTATAATACTTTAAATTTTTGATTTTTTTTTTTTCAATTTCCAAATAATAAATAATACCTTTTACATTAAACATTATTCAGTTTGATTTAAAGGATATATAAATTGATGGCTCATTACCGTATTATTATCGTTTAATATTACGTATCTTTGAATGGTAATTTTCGATAATCTAGTTTCTTGTGACATGAAAGTTTTATATCTCATCGATGTTCAATAATATACCAAAAATATACCATCATTTGTCCATTATTACTTAAAACGTTAACGATGCAGTAATGTGTTATTATTTTACTTACTGTTTGAACAATCTGTTTGGTCATCATATTGTTCTAATCCACGTTTAGGCAGTACTCTTGAAAAAAATAGACTACACAGAGTGTGATTTCTGAACGGTAAAAACTACTATATCAACAATAAAAACAACAACAACAACAACAACAACGACGACGACGATGACAACAGAAACGGGAAAAAACGACAACGACAGTTTAATGGCAGCTATATCGGACAGTAATGTAAAGTACACACTATTATCTTAACAACACGTTTCGCGCGCACTGGACCCGATATAGTTGATGCAGCGGCGTCCTGGAGCTCACTGCTTGTACGGAGCCGTCAATGAACGTCTTCTTCTCTCTCGCAAACATTCTAGCACCCGGAACTTACTTTCCCACTTACACACGGCGAAATGTGTACAACACGCATAATCCCATAAACCCACTGAACATATTTTTTTTTTTTAATTTCGTCGCTTAATTGATATGTAGCTGACCGTGAATGATACACAGCCGTTTTCAGTTCCTCAGTCCGTTACCGCCAGGTTAAGACTTTCATCGCGTCAAAAGAAAGCCACGGTATTGAGTCACGTTAATTAGAGGATTGTGTTTAGATGGTGCCTAACTGTGAAACAGTGATGGACCAGTTTTAGGCACAAAAATTGCCTAAACAAAATAAGAAAAAAAAAATGCACTACGCGTCGTGTTTTCACTTATAATTATATATGAGTTTGTCTCCGTTCTGATATATATTTTTATACGGATTGTTATGTTTAATTTTAGTAATAATCCTATTAATGTCATGAGAAATGTTTAGTTATGTCATTTTACACGGTTTAACAAGGAATTATAACGTGATGTTTTCTTATTCTTGAAATTGACGAGATTATATCCCGTAGTTGGTGTACAGACAAATCGGACAAATCCGGTATCGTTTTAATCGTATATGAAAAATAATCACAACAATTCTTTTGTGTACGTATGTTAAAATCCGATTTTATATTTAACAGTTATAAGTACCTATGTGAATAGTAAATATTTTGTGGTGTACTAGATTTCGTCGTTCTGTATTATGGGAAGTACATTAATTTTACGAAAATAAAATAAAACTCATAGGTATTGTTTTACTCATTGTTATAAGTTGTATAAGTTATATAGTTGGGATATTTTAATACAAAGTTATTGATGTTGAGTATATTTATTGATATCTTAATTTCACTATGACTAGTTTAGTCATTACATACATCATTTAATGTTATATCATTTCAAAACTATGTAGATTTTTAGAAATGTATAGTTCAATATTATGGAAGTAAGATTTTGGTGATTACTATTATGTTAAAATATTTCGTTAATAATAATTATTGTATTCGATGATTCGTACATTTAAAATTCTGTGATTTTATCTGTTCTCGACACTTGCATTTTTTAAATTTTAAATTTGAAAAAATCTATTATTCAGTTAAAATAAATATACTTAATATGTCGATTTAGTCATGAACGGTATACATATCAGTTATTAAAATATGACAATAAAATTGGTGCATTGCAATATATATATATTTCCATTGTAGATTTGATTTAGAATTCAAATTTTTGAGTTATTTGTTACTTGTAAAATTCTTTGAATTAAAAACTTATGTATACTTTATGCATAAATTAACCCAAATAAGTTGTGATTTGAAGGTTTATAAAATGCTAAAACATTTACCTAAATGTTAAGGCTTTAATAAATTTAGGAAGTTAACTTTGCTGCAGATGATATAAAATAAGTTATAAATTACATGTTTCATTACAAGTATTGTGTATTATGATACCAAATTATCTTTAATTGGTATTCACCAGCCTTCGGGTTTTAATCAGCATTTCCACTCTACTAATTATGACAGCGCAACCCTCTGTATCATGTAACTCAAATTTTCAACGGTATTATTAAATATGTCAACAATATAAGACGTTAAATCTTTGATTACTCAAAATTACTTTGTAACATAACTTTAAATTTTTCTTTAAATCTAATTTACAGTATATTTATTTTTTATGTATAACTTATCATGGCGTTAATAGAACAAATTATTATTTTTATTAATTAAATGAATCACTTAATTTTGAATAATAAAATTTATTTTTATTACATCCTTATATATTGTATTGGATATTTGAATCAATGCAATTTTTATATTGCAATCACTGCAGTATAATTGTTACTACTGTTAATCGTGTTGAACGTCTTACATAAATATGTATAAAATTGATTTTTATTCTTAAATATAATGTATAAACATGTATATGTAATGTATATTTGAATTCAATATAACCATTTTCAATAAATTTATACAATGGATAAATCACATAAAATTACATATAACGTATTCAATAATATTAACCAATATGTCATAAAATTGTCTTTAACGTAATACATCGGTAACAAGTAAAAATTTTGTTATAAACGTATAAATACATTAGAAATTATTTTTCGGTTTTGAGCTTTATTTTCATATTTAAATTACTATACTATCAAAACATTCCAAACACATTTGCCAGTGTTTAATTTCTATAATATTTTGTTAATATTTTCATGATAGTTACTAAAAAAGTATTGAATAATTTAAGTATAATGTGTACTCGAAAATGGTAACTTTGAATAATACCTTTGAGAAAATAAGTTTTTATTTTTATAAAAATAAAAGACTAACTAAAAGCCATTTAATAAAGATAGTTTTACCCATCTAATAAATATATTTTTTTGATGTTTCAACGCTCTCTTCTATATATATTTCATATAAATACAATTTTATACATTTTTCAATAAGAATATTGTTCCAAATACCATTGTCCAATCATTTTTCCATACGAATAATATTCTTCTTCAGGAATGATATTCGTTTCGTTTATTTCAATTCCATTGTTCCGATGTAACGCGCAATTCTAGCGAAAGTGTTCCAGTGTGTATGGTATCATATCCTCGTACAAACGTTATGCGTGTATTACGGCAAAGTCATCTTTGACGAATTTTCTATAGACAAAAAAAAAAGGTGATAGGAATAGTAATAATAATAATAATAATAATAATAATAATAATAATTTAGGTTTATAATCAAAATGATTGCACTTGGCGTTGTCGATACGTTTTGCAAATAGGATGGAATTTTATCATACAGTCAACTATAGGGATTATAGTTAGTGTGTACACTGTGCTATATGGGTGGTAATTTACTAATCAGGGGATTCACGTAGTATCAAAATAGATGATATTGAAATGTGATGGCTTCCTTTCACTGGAAAAATACACCATTAGCAGTGGCGGCGGCGGCGGCATGTAATCATAACAATATAACGATGTGTTTCTCACGGTGTCTGGCCACCATTATCGATGAAGGGGTCACGAGAGGTTTCTGAAAGTGAAATCATTGTTTTTTGGACGGCACGACCTAAGTCAGATTTTTATTCGGGTGTAGCAAGTGGACATAAATGAATAGAAAGCTATGCACTATATGCTTACTCAAGTCTGTATAGCCGAATTTGCAATTATACTTATTTCCACCTGTACAGCTTCATTCCCTTGGCGTGTTAAAGTTCAGAGTTTTTGGCAATAACGCACTATTTGATTAATAATTATATAATAAATGTCATTATATGAGGTCCTTGACATTTAATTAAAAATAACTTATTGGACCAAGCTGAGTCCCTCAATTGTAGAACATGTATTCACCTACAGTTTCACCAGTCTTGAATTAGCATTGTCTTCCATTCACCAACACCCTCATTCTAATAGAGAAATTCGTTGTTTGTCATAACTGACACATTAAATGATTGCATAGTTACCTTTGACCCTTTGAAATATGTATTTTAAATTCAAATCACAATGGGTAATATTCATAAAACATTGTCTTGTCACACCCGTAAAATGGAAAGTACGGCCATCGCCATGTGATTGATATGTGTTCATGACGAATTTGTATTTTGTTTGTATGCAGGTATCAGACCTTTGCAAGGATTACCGAAGATCAATGAATGCAGAGATTACTGAGTCGATGAACACATTTTGGGCTGAATGCTATGAATTATACAAAAACGCCTTAGATACCAGGAATATGCTTGTCGCCGAAAGTCGAAAATCATTTCAGGTAATTAATTAGTACTTGGTAGGTAGATCATTTTTATTTTTTTCATTCAATTATTATGTTCGTGGGTTTGATTTATTATTATAAGACTCTATTATAATTTGATTTCATAATCTTATACTCTCGAAGACTCTGCGTAATATTGCGTATAATAAATTCAGTGACTTGTGCATTTTGCTTAACTTTTGGAAGCCTTACCATACAATTATAATTACCGTATACTTTCTATTTTCAAATATTATTATAACTAGTAACTATAGTTGCTTTCAACTTATAAATATTTTTTCCTACGTGGTTATTAATAAACATAACTTAGTTTATCAGTTAGGTAGTTGATGCGCGATTATTCTGTTGCGGTTATTAAACTCACTTTCATTCGATTTTACCTGAAACTCTAACCTTATATTTAATCATTGTTATTATTTAGACGGTGATACTAGAGCCTTATAAGAATAAAAAACAGGAAGAAGAATCAAGAATATATTTAATGGAAAATCAGAAAAAAGCTCAAAGATTATTAGTGCGTGCAAAATGGAGACAGATAAAAGGATATCTGTGCGGAGAAAGAGGACCCTGGAAATCAAGGTTAGTATGATGGTTTTTATTTTTTCTGGAATGTACAAATTTTTGTTTTAATATCCCATTTAAATATAATTTCTATACAATATATCGTTACATTTATTTACCCTAATTTATTTTTAATTGCAATGGGATTTTAAGTGTATGAGATTTTTATATTATAATTTCACAGTTTATACTATATGTAATAGTTGCATCGAACGTTTTCTGAACGCGCTTAGGTGTTCAGTCACAAATAAATTTAGTCACAATACAAATTGAAAAGAAAGTAGTTTAACTTTATTAAATGTCTGAAATACTACAAATGCTTAAAAATTAATATAATTAATATAAAATGTTCCGACTGTTACGTAAGGCTCTGACTGTAAAACAAGACTGACTCGCCTGTGTTATACACAACGAGTCCTGGCACCGTCCGGCCGAAAGGGCTTGCTCAGCACATTCCGTTTAGGCCGGCGATGGTGTACAATATTACTACTACTAATACATACATTCTACATATAATAAGTAACCAGGGGTTTTTAGTATTCATAACAAAAGTATAGTTTTTTATGACGGACAATTTTTAAGGAAATTTTTAACATTGATAGTTTTTTGGTAATTTTCATTTACTAAGTGTATTATTTTATATGATACTAATTGTGTATCAGTAACTGTTCTGTGGACTTCTATATTAGCACTTGACTGTTAATTTATCATTAAAAACTTTTGTTCTAAGCTTTTTTCCTTTGTTGCAATTGAATATTAAGTAATAAAATTGTACCCGCTGGCATAATAAACTTTAATTAATACCATGTTAAATAATATGATTTTTGGTAATCCAGTATACCCCTATTTTGTATAAATAACTTTTATGTTTCCTCTTTGTTAAGCACTCATGATGCAAACATTATTATAGAAATGCGTTCTTGTTAATTCAAATTAAATACTTTTCAGGTTTTTATTGGATTATTTCTTAATTAAATAGAGTCTATTACGAAGATATACTTATTGAAAAATCTCTTGAGATAATGAAGATAAACAAATTTAGTAATTTTATACGATTAACGGGGATAAGGAGGATAAGGACTACAAATACAGTAGTCACTTGATAATTCGAAATTCAGGGGATTAAGCTGAAAATTCGATTTATAGAGGTTTTCGATTTACGGAGTGTTCGAATAATCCAGGGAAAAAAATTAATTCGAATTAAACAGAGGTGAAAAATGATATGCATCTATTACATTTATTAATTGAAATTTATTTATTATACATATTATATATTATATTTTACATTTTAAAGAAATCTGTTCTTTTTTTTTTTTGTGTTAAATTGTTGGCCACAATCTGGTCCATAGCGTTATTTAACTTACTGAAAGCATTGGAAATTGTATTGCATCCTTTTTCGTACGTTTCAGAATGCTCGAAAAGTTTTCACAATCCTGACATAAAAATGGTAAAATGATACGATTAAAATCTAGATTAGGTAGGTAAGGTACGATCAAATTTATAAACTACGATAATATTTAATTGCCGTGCTTAATAATTTCATTGCGAGTACGTCAAATAGATGTACATATGAATATACTTTATACGAACGTACGTATAATCGTGTTAAAGAAAATTTGAATTAAAGAGGTTCTGGAAAAAAAATTTGAATTGTAGAGTGAGTCCTACCAACAGACATTTCGAATTATCGAGAGGACTGGAATACATGTATTTTCTTCTAATTATAGAGGTTTTCTCAGGGGACTAAGCGTTTAGTTCGATTTATGGAGTTTATCGAACTATCGAGATTCGAATTATCGAGTGACTACTGTATCTTTATTTTAATTACATTTTTTTTTTACTACGAAATGTAAAAAATTACTTTTACTAAATTTAAAAAGTTTATTCTTCTAAAAATGTTAACGTTTTAACTTTTTATTAACTTTCTAATTTTATTTTTTATTTTATAGAAAAATATAATACCTATTATTAAATACCATTGATCATAATAATATCATAATATAGTATACTATAGTATTATATTATAATCAATATTAATACCTACCATAATAGTGGTTTGAAATTATAACGAGATAAGATAATACTATTATATTTAGTATACTATTTATTTTTAAATAAATAAAAAAATATTAAATTATTAAATTAAAACTAGTGTCATTAAAATATGAATATTTGTGTTTCTTTAAATTTCTTAGCTCTGAATCTAATAGAAAAATAAAATTTGATTGACTTTATTACTTTAAAGAAATCGCGATGTGTATGTATCAGGGATGACCAACCCGCGACCCGCGGGCCGCATGTGGCCCATCTTGGAAAGTTTGTGGTCCGCAAGATTTATCAAACATTTAGAAAAAAAATTAATTTTTGTCCCAATAAAATATTCTGGAATGCCCGCACAACGCGGAATCCGTATTATTAACAACGTAATCGCAACAAACTGTTTGATTTATCAACAAAATCTTTGTTCCCTAGTATTGTCGATGAACCATGTTATGCAAGTAGGTAGTCATAAAAATAGTGAATTACATTCGATCACATGCGCTTCCGCACCGACAATTTAAAGAGTTCTTGAAAGAATTGGATTCAGAATACGGTGATAAAAACAATAATAATTCATTCTGTTTATTTCAAATAATTAATACACCAACACTTATTTTGTAATAATAATTAATCCGGTTTAAAATGTTTACTCCAAATTTTTTTTGTTTTGGGGCAAAATACTAATATAATTTTATGTGTGGCCCGCGGGACCATAATGCATTTTCAAAGTGGCCCGTAAGATTATTTGGGTTGGCCACCCCTGGTTATCTACGATAGACACTTTGTCTATTATAAACACTTTTTTGTAATTATATGCTTCTGTACTATTTATCTAGTTTACAACATTTAGATCGGCTTGACAACAGTTTGTTTTTAGACTGTTGTGTAGTAACTAAAGAAGTTTTTACCGCGAAGAAGTTTCCTTCTACAGCACAAGGGAGATGGTTGTTTATTTTCTATGATCTAAATATCAGTATTTTTTTTATCTAAGACAATTTATTAACTGTGAAATTTAACATTGCGATAAAATATTTCTGCTATCAATGCATGTCTCATGATTCAGTGCGACTCAGGTACCTACTTCACTTTTACAAATAGTGTTTATTTAAAGATTTAGTCCTAACTGGATATTTGTATCTATTTTTTTCTGTAATTGGAATTTTGAGAGTTATTTAAATAAGTATACAATAAATAAATTGTGTGTGAATTCCGTTTAGTAATTTTAATAATTGCTTCATGGATATTAAGTACCTAGAAAGTCGAACTAAACGATCTTGATTAGGAATATAAATATGTGGTATGTCTTATTAAAAAAAATTTTTCTTAGAGATGATGAATCGAGTTAAGTTTTAGGGTTGGGCTTGAAATACCTTTATGTACTTAATTCATAGATATATTATTTGATTAAATTATTTGTTTGCCAATTTTTAATCATAGTTATTCATTGTTTATAATTGTGAACCATTTTGTGTAAATACTCAGTTTTTATGCGTTATAAGATTGATTATCTTATTATAAAATCTCAAATAATTTTGGATGCAATCTTCACCAATATTTTTTGATTTTAATGATAATTGTATATAATATAGGATTAAAAAAAAATATATATATATATATTGCCAAGTATATGTATATTCATTTATATTTTTACAGTTTATCATTTAAAAAGAAAATGTATATAATTTAATCGTATCTACTCTACATAAATTAAATTGGAATTTATAGCCAAGTATACATGTGAATTAAATGTTTATCAATAACCAGTTTTAGTCGTTTTAGTTTCGGGCACAGCGAGCGTATTCTTCAGTGGTTTAGTGACCGTAGGCGCATACCTGACTGGTTCAACTTCAATGGTGTCTACTTTGATAGTTTCTACGTCGTCGGTTGAGACTGATGGTACGAAAACGGCTTGTTGTGTGTCTGATTTCTGCACAAATGCGTTGAATCCGTTCGTTGGATCAGCTGTGTAGTCTACGGTTCTTCTGGAGCCATCGGGTTCGATCAAACTGTATCTGCCTTTCACGATATCACCATTTCGGGTTTCTTGTTGGCTTTTAGAGTCACCGGTAATTTGATCTTGGACTTCGTATGCAAAGGAGTATGAAGGGTTTGGCTGTAATTGAGCTTGAGCAGGTACCACTTGTACAATCTTAGCCACCGGAAGTGCCGGTGCGACTAGTTTAGCGGGAGCTACGGGAACAACTTCAGCTCGAGCAGTTGGAACGGCTCTGGCTGGTGTAACAATTTTGGCTGGTGCTGTAGCGACGACTAATTTGGCTTCTGGTTCTGTGTATGCCACCACCGGGGCTGATTGGTAAAACGGTTGCAAATAAGCCCATGGAACAGGTCCGTGTGAGGTTAATGAAGATGTAATGTAAGTTGGCACGGTTCTGATGAAGTCGGCGGAAGCCATGGCAGCTACTAAAGGCAGGATGATGAATACCTAGAAAATATTAAATTATTTTTTTGTTTAAATTATGCTGGTGAATTTTCGTTTTCTTGATCACAGTCAATTTTTTTGATTATAAGATATATATTTTTCACTTACCTTCATGTTGAAGAAGTTGTGTTTTTTTTTTTTAACTGTGAATATTTCTTGTTTATTACTGTTTGTGGTGGTTGATTGTGATGTGATTGAATCTTCAGTAGCACCCGTTTTTATATTGTTGTAAAAGACCCTAGTACCCCACCATTTCTAAGGACATATCGTACGTGTGGACAAATATAATTCATATCGATGAATATGATAATACAATTCTGTCACCGTGATTAGAATTATATTATATTCATGTCTCAAATGACCATGATTCATCTTTATCGTTTGAATTTTGCAATGAAATAGATCATTAAGTACATTTTGTTTTCGAGCCAAATGTACAAATAGAAATCGACTCTTTTTCGTACTTGAGTAATATGATAATTTTTCTTAGGTTTATTTATTGTTTACATTATAGAATTGTCATATTATAGAATTTAATGTAGTGAATAAATAATTAATATTCATTACAAGGTACGTGTTAAAAACATCAAATGTTATAATATTTTTAAAATATATAATATGCAAATCAATATTTTTATTTGATAACAAAGTTTTGAGAAAAAGAATAATTGGCAAGCTTTAATTATTTGTTTGTGATGGAGTAACACCTGAATAGTAAGAATGCGTACGTGAAAGATTGTCCGACACGCGTGTATCGAGGACGTTTTATGGCGCATATTGCATACTTGATTTGGATCTAGGCCGTGGATGAGTAAATTTACATTTTTCCAGGTGGAAGCTCAACACTTTAGTGAATTGTTTTGTAGGCTCCTTGTGTAGAAAAATGCTTATTAAATCATATTACATTGAAAATAATTAATACGTATTGTGTAGAATATCAATATATTATTTTTAAAACAAAACAATAATATTATGATAATATTATGATCTTGAATTTACCAAAGATATATTTTATATTTCCCGCGAAAACCACAAGACTAAAATATATAATAGTTACTCCAAACAATACAATCCTTACATTTTTGTCTTATATTTTATTTTTAAAGTTAATATTTTTCGTAAAATTAAAATTATTTAATCGTTTCTTACAATTAATTTGATAATTTTCTATTTAATATTCAGTTTTAAGTTGTGAAAATATTTAATACATTTATTAACTAAATTTATCATTGCTAAACTGTTTTATATTATCTACCATTAGTACTACTAGAAGTATCTACTAGTATCAACCACAGAAAACTATTTTTTTAACTTTATTGGATTTTGTGAATATTTAAAAAATTTTAAATGTCTAATACAAAATTTAAAATAGATTACAATTATTTGTACACAGAAGATTACTGCAAGTATTAAAAATATATATTTACATAAGACAATAATACTTAGATGATTTAATGGTGAATTAAAACATATATAAAAAAATAAATATAAAAACATATTTTTCCTTGTTAGCAAACATTTTAATTTTTAATTTAAGATTTTACTTATTATCGATTTTTAATTTCAATCCTAAGTTATTTTAGAAATTCCATGTTAACAAAAAAAAATTTTTTACATAAAAATAAAAGCCATACTTAATATTTTTATCTTATATACACACTAAACTTATATTACTCAAATAAATTTAATATATTTATATTTCATTTATGTTATATTTATATTTCATGTTAGACTAAATATAAATGCAATTTCAGATGTACCAGAACTAAGAAACTAAAAAAAAAAAATAACCAAAATATAATGATGGATTTTTCATTAATATTTTATATAGCCTTTTTAATTTTAATATAAAAAATATCGAAGTTATAAAATAATAATTTGTAGGTACATTATAGTTGAAAATTTATTTTTTAGTTAATTTGTTAATTTGCCTCATACTATCAAATTATAAATGCTAATAATTGATATTCAATCATTTTTGTGAGTATAATAAAATCCAGTGAAGTTAGTTAAAACCATGATAACTAATATTAAATAATTAATAGTCATTGTAAAATAAATATACTACTAATGAGATAATTAATTAAACTAATTAAAGTAACTTATTTATTAATCCGTATATTTTAAAACAGTGTAGTAGTTCTAAATATTACATTGTATATGTTGTAATTATATTCTAATTAATAGTTTGAATGCATCTAATTTTTATATATATATACATAATTATATATATAAAAATAATCTCATATAACCATTAGTTTATTTCTTTTTAGCATTCATAAACATTGTTTAATATTTGTTACTTTGTAGTTCAATTTTTTTCTTATATTTTTATAGATTATTAATTTTAGATAACAATGTTCAAATGTTCATGTACAGTCAATTTTAAATATACAATCCTTTAATATTTATTTAAAAAAATAAATAATTGAAAAAGGCATATTAGTCTATACTTAAGGTATTAAAAGTTGTAAACCACATGTATAAAGTAATAAATAATAAGTAATATGTTTGTACTTTATTGTAAAGTAATAATTAGTACCATTATGAAATTATCTCAATTGTGTTATTTTCATAATAATTAATTAGTTGCATAGGGGTGTAAAGATTCTTGTTTCCGGTGTGGTTTTAATTTTTTTTTTGATCACTTACTCCCTTATAAAACCCTGCCTTAAAAAAAAAAAATAGATATACAAAACATAAGTAAGTAGAAATAAAATTTATTAGAAAAATGTATGTACAATCTACTAATTATCAATGAACGCCAGTCCCCGCAATTTTTATTTTTTTGTAATTTGATAAAATTGTTAAAAAAACTTTTGATTTTCCAAAAAAAAAGAGTTATTAGCCCTTTTTACCTAAGTATCTTGTACCTACATAATAAAAAAGTCTCAGGTGTGGCAATAGCCCTAAAAGCCACACCCATTCGCACGCCTATGATAAGCTAGATTATGTGCTTAAATCTTTACTAGTTTTTTTGTGGAACCCTTAAAATATATTGATGGCTAGACTATGTTATACCCCTATGCTACTCTAATTTCACTGAATAATATTATAGGCTTCATGCGGTACTTTAATAGTGCTCTAATCTTGTAAATTAAATTAATTTCTTTGTTTCGTAAAACTTATGGCAGTTACACACTGAACGTTTTCGACGCCGCATTTTGCAGCGTTTCACTACTTATTCTTTTGGATTCTGTCTCAATTCCTTAGATATTACTTGAAACTGTCCTTTGTACAGCCTTTTTAAGTGAAATGAATGTACATATCAACGAAGCTTGGTTTTTTTTCTGAATTTCATATATTGCATAAACAAGACAAACAGCTTCTACTTCATTCAAATTGTTTAGTATGTTCATATTTTAATAAAAATCAAAAAACTATTTTGTAATTGCGTGATGGCATTGAACGAAAGCCGAGTAATGAATGATCACTTGCAAGTTGCAAGATATGCGTGAAAAATTAAATTTTTATTTTCCCGCGCGTCTGAAAACAGCAAACATAGTCTACGTGTGTAAGATATGCATGTAGCGTTTTAAACACGCTGCGTCGAAACGAAAATACTTGTCGTGTAACCGGCTTAAATAAAATAAACTATACTTTTGCGTACTACTACACTAAGTATAACAATATAACATGATAATTAATTCCAGTTTTTCTGATCAATTTGAATTTTAATTATACAATTAAATATTTGTTATTTTTCAAGTTCTTTAAATTTTATAAAACAAATATTAAATGGTAATCATACATAAAATATTTTCAAATTAAAAAAAAAAAAAAAAATTATCTTCGAACAGAATTATACTAATATAATATAACAATATGACTATTCTATTTCGTTTTCGTTATTATTCATGTGACAAATAATATTTGTAATATTGATATTGGAATTTACTAGTATACTGTTTATTATTAATAACAACAATATAGGTATATTAAAAAATATTTACTCTACTTATTTAAAAATATAAAAATTATTTTCGTTTTTATGGTCGATTTGCATTCATTATTCCACCACCGTATTATATTCAGCTGTTAGTTATTTGCCATTATGGTTTTAATGTTGTTACATTTCCATTTTTATTGGTCACGTTGTTTGATGTTTCTAAATTTGTTATATTCATATATTGTTTTTTCAATTCCGTTTTCGTTATGTTCATACCAGACCTTAAAACTATTGGATTTGAATCAGTAGACACACTTGTTTCGTTCTTTTGACGAGTTTCTTTCGTATTCTGTTTTTGGACCACTGTGTTGGCATTTGGAGTGTTCGTGTATTCAAAAACCGTTTGGATCCTAGTTAAGCCGGACAACTTATTATTATAATTACCCGATGTATTATCGTTATCGCTTGACTCGCGCTGATCATTTGAATTTTCAATATTGTCGTCAATTATTTGATAACCGTAACTGTACCGAGACGTCGGTTGACTCTCAACATGCGTCTCTGAGTACATCGTAGTGGGAGGATAGTGTTTTTGCTTGGATCGATTTTCGGTTCGTGAATTTGAATACGTTTTTGTGACTTGCCGTGCAGTTGACCTATGTTGGTGGCTAAGGTTTGAACTTTGCAATGGATCATAACTTTTAGATGTTCGTTGATTTTCGCTGTCGGGTATAAAATATTGTATGGGAGCTTGGACAGAGTGATTTATTAGCGGTATTTTTCCAGTATTTATTACTAGTGGTACTACTTGATACTGATCCAAAGGCATCGGATAATGAAGCGATTCGTAAGAAATGCCAGATGGTGCTGGCAATAAGAGTATTGGGTTTAACAAATCGATATTTTGATCGGGTGGTATTTGAAAAGTATGTTTTGCGTAGAAAGAAACCAAGATTAACATACTCCAAGCCTGTAACAAAAAAAAAAAAAAATATTTTTTATTTTTTAGAGCTATTAATTTTCATTACTTAAACAATTGTTTTTATGATATATAATTTATTTCAAACATGAGTATTTCATTTGCGCGTATTTAGCGTATTATAAAAGCGTGTTCAAAAATGTATAGGTGCTTGCCACTAATAATTTATATCTAATACGTCCTTGAAAATAATTTAAGTGAAGTATCGTTTGTGGTTGATTTAACAAAATGAAATTGATAAAAAATTATCAATTGGTAACGGCCTAACTTCTGATTAATGATAATAAGATTGTATTGAAATATCTTGCTTGATATATTATTTTTTTCACAATACCTGTGTATAAAAACAGACGTGAAATCGAGTAATTGCATATTTCGCCACTATTTCTTTGGAATTTAATGTATAATTTAATCAAAAACAAGTCCCTAAGTCCGCGTGTCTAGAATTTATAATTTACACCAACAGTGTCTGTTGTCTATTAATAATAAATCAGCGTACTTGTATTGATTTAAGCTATGTATTTTACATTGTAGGTATTAATGTTTAAATATTTATAACATTTAAATACATATCAACAACATTCGTGCATTTTTAATATTATAATATGTGTTGGTTGATATTTTTAACATTCATTAATTGCAGATGTTTGAGAAATATATTATAAGTTATTTCATATACTAAAAATTAAACACATTTGTTATATAAATATCATATTCATTAGATATTATTTATAAAATTTTGAGTTTATGCAGTTTGTTTGTTTGTTAAATATAGTAAATTCAGGTGATATAGTTACAGATGATTCAAAAATGTACTGATTTTTATCAAAATATATGATGTGTTATTTTCGAAATTATCTAAAAGTATTTAACGTTATTAATCAATCTAAACAACTTGTCAAAAATTGCCAAAATAATAAAAAATAAATAAACTAAAGAATTTCAAAATTATTAAATTTGTAACTATAAAGCGTGATTTAGAGTATATTAACTGTAGTAAAATAAATATCTCGCAATTCATATACTTAGTAAATATATTTATCAAACGTGATAATATAATAAAGTTGTGATTGTAAAAGCATACTTTAAAATGTTCAAAGAAATATCTTATCAATTCAAATGAATTTATCTTGTTCAATTGAACTCACTATTATGTCTGTTTTAATTTTCGAATAAAACTGCAGAACTGTTCATTAATAAATAATAAACTTAAAATGTAGATAATATTTTTAACTTATTGATGGAATTTAATAATTACTCGTAATAAGTTTTTTTATAGCTACTCTGTAGCAAATTTTAATTTTAATATTATTTAATAACATAATTTACATACAGTCTCTGTGTAGTTTGTATAGAATATTGATAATTTATCATCATTCAGAATTGTTTATTTAATTCAATGTTAAAAAATGTATCGTATATAATACTATACTTTGTCTAAATTATCTAAATTAATTTCGAATACATAAAACCTATTAATGCTTTGTTATAAAATAAAAATAATATTTGAAGTATAATAAACATTTATAAATCATAAATAAATATAAATTTTAACTGAGTATTTATTATAAAATATTTGTATTGTATACAGTTTTTTTTTAATCATCTATAAGTTAAACATATTTAAATTTTTTAATTATATTATTTGGGCTTCATAACTTGTTATTTTTATTTTCTTTCATATTTTAATTTAAAATTAATTTTGTAGTTTTTCAAATAAAAACCATATTTTGAATCAAAATATATTTTTATATTCAATATATTTCAAATATATTACAAAACTACATTTTCTTCTATTCTTAAATTTCTAAAATAATATTAAAATATTTAGTTTCCTCTACGGTAAAATGTAATTTAAAGTTTCTATATAATGAAAATGTTATTATGTCACTTACTTTATTGGGTTCATTGAAAAATAACTCTCCTATTAAATGAGAATGCTTGATTGTTTTTATTAATTTTGCCTGAAATTAACATCTATTATATTTGTTATTTTTGTATTGATATTATGTAATGTGTTAAGTAGGTATAGTTTTAGTTTTATTTATGAATTTGATACCTACTTAACTTGACCGATAATTTATTTATTACATCCAACAGTGTATAACACACTTTTATATATAATAACTAGATAATATATTAATATTATATTTTAATATAATATTTATATTTATATTACATATAATATATTAAAGAAATAATGGAAATGTAGTTTTTTCTTTTAAGTTAAAAAAAGTAAATGTTTATTTTTGATAAAATGTAATTCTAGAATTTAGTTTCATATTTAGTTTGGAGAATTTTTTCTTATACTATTTTACAGTTAATACGGTTAAATTTTGTTATTGCAGAAAATTGAGGTTTATAGTCAGTGCTACTATGGAAATTATTATGATTCACAACAACACAATATTTAACTGTATAAAATAATCAGAAAACAAGTTTCAATGAAATAAGCTGTATTTCCTTTATATTTGTGTTATACTTTATAGACGCATATAGCCGCTTCCACGTCCCATTTATAAAATATATAAAAAATATATAAGTACAGATATATTAATAGCTATTTAATAAAATATAATAAACATTACCGTATTAAGCCTGAGAAAAAAAAAAAATTTTAATTCAAAGGAATCGTAATATAGGCCATGGAGTAATAGCTTTTATGATTCGCACGTAATTATTTGTTCATTCTACTATAATATATTAATTTTACGTGACCTGTTTACTAATTATATTTTTATTAATTTGTAGAAGGATGACAATAAAAATAAAAATGTTAATTATTTAACTAAAAAATTATGATTAAAATCTAAAATGTTATTTATTTATATAAAAATTTGGCTCTTAAACTCTTGTTGTCTATTGATTAATAATATTATTAAAATATTTTGTTTTATTTAATTTTAAAATAATTATAATAAAGTTTAAAAAATGTATATAATAAACTTACCGAAGCTTCCATGGTCCAAATTATTATTTTTATGAATTGCGCTAATGAAACATTTCTTTGCAATTACACAAATAGATATATATATTTATATATTTATGTATGTATGTATGTGTGATAGTTTATATAATGTTTATTCCATACTAGAGTTCGATATTCATATATTCTAGAAATGCTGGGAGTCCAATTATATATATCCCATATTGTTGTTTATTTCAGAAGGGGTTTCCGTGTCAAATAACCAGAACGATTCGTATTATATTTTATAAAAATATCATTGACCAAAAAATAATTAAAATTTTGTTGAAATAATTACTGTAGTACATTTAATGAATATGAACAGAATTTAAAATAAATTTCGACTTAAAAAAATGTTCTTATTCAAATTATTTCTTAAATTAGTATTATTCGTAATATAATAACTTAAAATTATTATTAAAACTGTAAATTTTATAAATAATTGAACTTTTAACTAAAATTGATATTGGTTCTTAAAATCATAAAAATGTTTATTTTTATTTTTATATCAGTCATTTACAATTTTTTTAAATAGTTTCATATTTTTAACATAAATTCAAAATAGATTTTATCATTTATGTCTGTATTATGGTTAATTTTTCACGACTATTAACACTAAGATATAAAATTATTTTCATTCTAGCAAGTATTAAAAAAATATCTAAATATTAATAATGTGTTTCCAAATTGAGATATTTAATTTATTATTAATTTACTATGTTCTTTTTTAATTGTACATTATGGAATTATAGTTTATTGTTTAAAATATGGTCAGAAACCAAAAATTTGGTACATTTGCAGATTAACTTTTTTATTTATAAATTTTATTATGAAAGTACTTACTTTAATTTGAAGTGTAAGATGATATTTTTTGTATATTAAAAATTATTTTTTTAGTATACATTATATTAAATTTTAAAATATTTATGTTTCTGTATTATGGATGAGAGTTTCTAATATTTTCATACTTATAATGTTTGAGTTTAGAGTTATGTGGACAGCAAATAAATCTGTTTTAAGGTTCACGGAAGTCGATTTAATCATTTTTATTGTATATTTTATATATTTTGATTGTTTGCATACTTTATAGTTTTATTCTATAATTTGAAAATCATTTAATACTCTATGTATAGAGACTTGTGACTAGTGATTTTATAAGTCAGATAAAACATATTTATAAAAATCATGATTTGTTTTAGAAAATGTCTTCTCATACGCCCAGTGGTATTAATGTGTTTCATAGTCCATAAACTAACATATTAAGTTATGCTCTTAAATTTCACCACATAAGACTTAAGCGATGTTTACAATTGCTCTTATTTATCTATTAAATTATTATTTTTTTGTTCAAAATATTAATAGTAAAAGAAATAGTTTTGAAATGTATTCATTTTTAACAAAATCTAATATATTTTTACAAATTTCTACAACTAATAAATAATAATAATACTTTATACTACTTAAAATTATGTAATGCATTAAAAAATATTGTAATTGAACAAGAAAAGGATATTAATAATTAAGTATATAATAATGATAAAATTAGACATTAGAAACTATAAAAATGTTCAAGTAATATTTGTTATTTAATTTTTCAAGTCACAAAATATGGCTATCATTAGTTTTCTCGAAATTATTCTCTTATATAAACTTATTAACCCCAATAAAAATAGTTATCATCCCATGAACTTTTACTTAACAATAAATTATATAAATAGTGTAAATGCATACATACTTTATGTCGTACATGAAATTAGTTATGAGTTACATAAATAAGTTATGGGGCATATGCAGACATATAACAGGTATTTTCAATATTGTTTTTCTATTATGTGTCGTTAATATATTTAACAAACAAGAAGAGGACAAAAGTTATAATTCATATAAATTACATTCATCTAAACCAGGCATGTTAAGCTCAAGTATTAAATGGGCCGAATATATTGAATAGTTTCCTACGCGGGCCGCACATAAAAATTTAACGAAAAAAAATAATGTACTATTATATATGTTTACATATAAAACCATCAATAAAACTTACTCGATTACAGTTTATCAGAATATAATACATAATAAGGTATACCAAATATAATATTTTTCAAGAGTCTAAGATAGTTGCGACGTGACATTAATATTTTATAATTTTCTTACTGTTAATTTTTTATTTTATCGATTGACATTGGTAGCCGCAGGCCACAAAAAAATTAGCCGTGGGCAACATGCTTGACCTAAACATTTAATCATGGCAAAATGTGGAATTCTATTTAAAAGTATAAGTACAGTTACAATAATCTATAAAAAAAATCGTACTATTTTATTTGCTGCTTTTCAGTCTTTCAATTAAGTGTTAATATATTATAAAATTTTGATTACAAAAATAAAAATAAGAAATAAAATGATTTTTCAAATTTTTTACATATGTTATGTATAGTGTCCAATTATTATGATCGAAACTATTTAAAAACCATCAAACATTTGTATAAGACATAGTAACGTACTTTACATCTGTACTATATATATAATGCAAATATATCTTTATATATTTATATTAGGTAGAGCTTAAAAATTATTTACATCAAAATAAAATAAAATTAACTCAGGTTGTGTATAATATAGAAATATAATAAGTTATTAGAGAATTAATATGATTATGCAATTGCTACTTTCTTGAAATAAATAATTTTATCTTCTATATATATATATATAATTATAGATTAAAAAAAAAAGTATTATATAGCCAATACATTTGTATTAGTTAAATTATGGTTTTATACTTTAAATATTTCGTATAATATCAGTTTAGAATTATAGGTATATAAATGTTCATCAAATATATTATTATAAGTTAATTAAGAATAAAAAAATATACCATTTAATTTTGTTAATACTTATTAAATGTCATGTAGTTAGTTGTTTAATTTATATTAAAAAAAATAAAATAAAATGATTCTTTGTAAATAGAAAGTATTTCTTAGCATATTTGATTGAAATATTAAAATTGACTGTTGATAACTGCCTAATAAACAATCAATTGTATTATGATAATTTACATTTTTTGTTATTGAAATCCTGAATAATCAAAATCGTTCATTAAGACTTTTCGCAGCTTTGAAACAATGCTATTTTAATCTCGAAAATATGGGAACAAAAATTTAATTAATTACATATTTGATCTACTTTGATTAGTCATAGTTATTAATTTTATTGAAAACACATACTATTTTGCCTAATATTTTAGTATTTGATTAAGTTGTAGATAATTTAAAAAGATTACAGTAATTTTATGGTTTTTTTTTTTTTTTTTTTTTTATTGTACTTATACATATTTGGCGTTAATACGGCGTTTATATTATGCAATATAAATACAGAAAAATAATTATAATTTGCGCACGGTGAAAGCGCCTTTTATTTTTCAAATACTGTTTTATATGTTTGCATGTAATGTGTTACTTGGTTTTAATTTATAAACAATCGCAGTCAGTTTTAAATGATACATTTATTATATGGTATTATAAATTGTATTAAAAACAATATTTATAATCAATTAAATTAGTGAAATTTAATGATAAGGAATTATAATTTCGTTATTGATTAAATTTAATTATTTTTTAGTTACCATAATATTTCTTTAATACATTTGATTAACATACTTATGATTTTCCGTTGTGTTTGTGTGCAATTTTTAAAAATTGAATGTTTACTTTGTACTTCCTTAGTTTACTAGATCGCTTATATATTAATACGATATTGATACGTATCATCGGTATCAACATTCGAGAAATTAAGAAAATTGAAATATACTTTTTATGAAATATACTTTTTACTTATTATTTTTACTTTAGATTAGATTTTTTATTCAGGTAGTAACTGTAATAGTCTGATATTTAGTTATCACCAGTTTTGCTGGTTACTAGTTCATTAGTATTACTTGATAGCAAATAAAATACGATTCTTCAGATATAACTACTAAGTACTAGAAGTATATTCTACAAATGTTTAATGGTATTAAATTAGATTGTATTTGACATGTTTTTCTTTATTTTAATGAATGTTCTTTATCTTTTATACAATTTACAGCTTAAAATAAGATTTTATAAAATGATAAAAAAAACCTACTATTTGATTAACGTTTTTTATCTATCGCATTAACTAGATTATATAAATAAGTGCTCATTTCTCGTACAAAAATGTAAATTTGTATTTTACAAGGCGTTTTTTTCATATGAAGTAATATATTAAAATTCCATTTAGAAGTATGTATATTGCATACAACAAACGCCGTATATTATTTTTATTGTTTGAGTAGCATATGATAATATAATAATATATATTATTTTCAATAAGTAACTGGTAAAATAATATCTCATTGTTTATTAAAAATTCACTAATACATATATTTTTTCTATCTTCTGATGAGTTTTCGCATTTGAATATTTATTTTTTTTTTTTTTTTCTAAGATTATATAACCAGTGGAAAATACTCAGTTGTCAGTACAACAATATTAATTACTACAGTAGTAATTCAATGATATTCTATATTTATAATCAAATACTTAATTTACGATAGGTATAATTCTGACCAATATGGTTAATATTTGTATATAATTTATTTATATAATGTATTAACTACGTGATCAAATTTACCCATTCTAATCAATCTAAAACTTTATTATTATACTATTTAAATCTGAATACTTCAATGTTTTTTCACTGATATATATTATTATCATTATATTTTACTAGTTCTAAATATCGAGGACCAACTTCTAAAATGCGCTTATTTATAGGCTAAGGTTTATTAGCTAATTTCTTAACTATTTCATTCCGTTGGATATCCGTATGCTGGGAAACTTATGAATACCAATTTATTTTAATACATACTAATTATATTTTGTAATTATATTTAATTATATAGTTATAATTAGGGTTTGATTTGTTTATTCTTTGTGATGTGTTACTTTGTACATTTTGTTATATTGAAGATTTATATTATATATAAATCTTCAATATATATATATATAACATCTACATATTATGTATATTTCATATTTGTAAGTATGTAATTGTAGACGTTTTTCATTAAAGGATCGTTGACGAGGAAATTTTTAACTGACTGTTAAAATATTTACGTATTTGATTTTTTTCATAAACTTTTAATAATCTAGCTTTAAGAAAATTATTTAATAATTAGAATTTCATCGAATTAATCGATTGTAATTGTCTATAAATACAATTTAATCAATCGTGAACGAATTGATTTGATATTAAAATGGTATTTATTTTATTTTAAACAAATTAATTGTGGTGCAGGAAAATATGTGATAACCGTACGTATTGGCTAATTAATAAATTTGCATTCACTTACCATTTCATCAGAATATATTTTTGCGTTTAAGAATCCTGCAAGTTATTAATATCCCTTTTATTATCTACGTAATATTTGTATCTTTTCTTTTTTTCCTTTTGTATCGACGACGCCATGGGAACTGCTTTCGCATTGGTTCCATGGCGACATAATATTTATACCTGTCTTCGAAAAAATAACTATATTCATTTCAACTGGCTCTGAAATGCTAATGAATTATACAACTTTTTCTCTAGGTAATCCCTACGCACTAATATTTTTTAATACGGATTAGTGCTACGAATCCTTATCGATAAATGTCAACTCTTTCAATTTCAAATTGTCCAGAAATGTTGGGGTAGAAACATGTTTTATTTCAACGCATTTTGTCAGCGTAATATCCCAACGTTAATGTACGCATGTAGTGTATTGGATACGAATAAATACGGCAATTGATTTATGAAAAATATATTATAATATATAATAATCGGGTACATCGTAACGTGTTGTGTGCACATAAACAATGGGCCGACAGCACTGTTGTATTTAAGTCCATACAATATAGCAATAGGTAAAAAAAAAAAAATAAAAATAAATAAATAAATAAAAAACCGTAGATTAAATGTAAGAATAATACAAATCGATAGCGTTGAAAATACTTAATGACGAGCGAATTGTTACAAAAAAAAAAAAAAAAAAAAATGGTAGAAGAAAAAAAAAGTGTACGTGAAACACGCGTAGTTATGGTACGTGATTACGGTACACCGGGGTCGGGAGTGTGTGTATGCATTTCTTGTACGCGCGAAGGCGGTGTAAGCGTAGGGCTACGTGTTGCGGCGACGCGTCGGCCGAGAGATCTCAACGGTAGAACGGGTACGAGCGGTACGACGGCTGGGCGGCGTACGCCTTGACCGCGGTGTAGACGGGCGCGTAACCGTGGACGGCTTCGGGTGGCGCGTACGCCTTGACCACCGGGTACGCGGCCGGCGCGTAGGCCTTGACCAACGGCTCCTTGGTGACGACCGCGTTGAAACCGTTGTGCGGGTCCGCGGTGTAGTCGACGGTGCGCTTGGTGCCGTCCGGGTCGACCAGGCTGTACGATCCGTGCACCACGTCGCCGTGCCTGCTCTCGTGCTGGCTCTTCGAGTCGCCGGTCAGCTGGTCGTGCACGTCGTACGCGTACGAGTACGACGGGTTCGGGTCGTAGTCTGCGTCGTACGACTTCGCCGCCACCGCGTAGTTGACGTACGCGGGCGCGGGCGAGTACAGCGCGTATGGCGCCGGCGCGTATACGGGCGAACCGGTGACCAGTGCTGCGCTGCACGCTGCTAGTAGTAGTACGGAAAACTGAAACACAAACGCGCTCCGGTTAGGCCATACGATACGCGCGTGGAATCCACCTGCAGTGCGCGTAGCAAGGGTATGACGGACTGGCCTACGCCAGGGGCGTGAATTCCGAAGGGCCGCGAAATCGTGCAAAAATGTCGTATTTTTACTCTACAGTCAAATCGAAATTTTTCCATTGTACTATTTGAAATACGTATATGTTGTCTATTTGTACACATTACGTGTGAATTTAATTAAGAAAATGGCACAAGTGCATTTAAAGAAAAATTTTCTTATGAAGACACTATCGATGAATTTACCAGTCGTAAAGCGAGAAATTGCAAATCTTCATAGTTAAAAATTAACACTGTAATAATAACTTATAAATTTAAATTGTGTACTTAAAACAATTAGTAAAATTAAAGATTTAAAAAAAATATCAAACGTCAAATTTGAATTGGTTAAAAAGCGTTTTTTCTAAGTTTACCAGGATCGCTAGCGAGTCTTCCTACGCCACTGTCCACCTGTACCATTGTTGTTAGACTTATGGGTCTAAAATCGACTTAGAGTTATAACACAGTTATTACCCTTATAGAAGTGTAGGTTATATGTTTTGAGGGATTTCTATCGTACATCGATAAGCTCGTGTTAAGATCTCCGTGCAACACGTCTAGCTCAGACAGTTATAACAATAGTTCTACGGCAACGATGACAGAATTATCATTAAAAATATTTATTTACTCACGATCGATAAGCATAATAACTTGTACACATGAAGTTGCTTTGAAATAATTTTACGATTTTCTAAAATGTGTGTTAATTTATGTTAGTATAAAGGCTTAACTTATTTTTATAAATTTAAATGAAATACGATTTACATAAAGTAGATTAAAATAATTTAAAATTAGAAATTAGTCAATTTCGAAAAATACTATATTACCATAACTGATCTGTTCAAATAATTAAGAAAATGCCTGGTATTTTTTAAGACTATTCGTAAATCGCCCAAAGAAAATAAAAAAATGATTTTTCTTTGACGTTGCCTGATATACCTGGTTAAACTGAGTTGAAACTCGTATGAAATAGAATCACGTTAACCGAAATTTACACAATGAAATCTTTACAGAGCGCATGAACATTTCATATAGTGCATAAGATCTACACGGTGTGTAAAGCCAAAACTTGTAACCCGACTGTTTCATCGCGAAATAGAAATGATCAGTTCGTTAAAAAAAGTACACGCGGAAATGACATAAGACATGTGCGTTACCGTATGTGCACGACAATAGTGAAATGTGTGTGTAGTTAATCGCTCGGGTATATAACGGCTTTGCAACGAGCGTAAAATCCCTCTGCGCATGAAAGTCACGTTCGCTTCGGAATTTGACGGAAGATAAAATGCCGTATACGGTGCATGAGTGCGCGGCGATGAAACGTGAGGACGTGGTCGGCACGGTCTTGTAAACGATCCGCGTGTGAACAGTCGGGGAAACGAGAAAGACTACATTGGACCCGTTTCCGATCCGAAAATCTGACTGGTCGGAAGAAAAAATAATAAATTTGTTTTAAAACCGACGAATAACGGACGAAACGGATAAACATAGCCACTACATATAATGTACACGGTTTTGTTTTTCTTCCGATTAGTCGGATCGGATCGGAAACGGGTCCAATGTAACCAAACGTATTGTTTGGCGGGATACGTTTATAACTCGTATCGTAAGTAATCGGTGTACGGCAGCAAGAACGACGCGCGCTTACCCCGAGAGACATGTCGGCGGATGAGTTCTTGCGTCGAAGTTGATGAACCACGTTCTTCGTGTGTTGCGTACGTGTGCCGTGTGCGTGGAACAGCGCGTTGTGATGCTGGGCACCGTCGACGGGTGTTCTATTTATGCGGTGCGGAGATCGAGCGAACCTTCCGAGACCACTCCCAGAAAGAAAGAAATAATATTCGATCCTAATGAGAACCGCGCGCGGCTACGTTACGGGGGCGCGCTCGGGCGAGGATGATTATTATTATTATTATTATTATTATTATTATTATTATTATTATTATTATTGTTAACGTCGACGGTTATCGCGCGCATGACAATGGCGGGGAAATGATCGCGGACCTCCCGGGGTGCAGGAGGGGGCGGGTGGATTACGTACCTTAAGACCGTGGAACGTCTCGACAATGGCGGAAAACCGCGGACGAACAATATAACGCGTCGCGTTGGTACGCGCACAAACATTACGATAACGTTTTTTATGACACTTGACCTTTCGCACGTGTGTGCTTGCGCGCGTGTGACGACCGTGGCCTCCAACACCACCGTGTCCATATCGCTCTGCGGGTCGGTCGGCGCTCTTCATCCCCGAGTCCGCGGACGCGCGCGCGTGTTTCTATGCGGTTCTTCTTGGTTGTTTTTCACGCTTCGCGTGTTAATATTTTTATCGTACGCGGTTTGTGTCCAATTCGTATCGTTATACGAGGCGAATTTGGGGGGGGGCGGGGAAGGAGGTGTACCAAGTTAATCGGAAAATTCGGATTAACTCGTAGTAGTAATAAATAGTGGTGGTGTCGTGGCAATGTTTTTTTTTTTTTTTTTTACGTGGTAGGGGTGTCAGAGGAGAAAACGAACCACTAATAACAGCCCTTGAATGGGTGCCGCAAAGGAAGATACCACGAGGCAAACCTTGAAAAAGATGGCTGGATAGTGTAGAATCCTGTTAAGAATGGTTATTAAAAACTAAAGGGAGATAACACATGATAGGAGACAGATGGCGTGAAATAGTGGTGGCGGCTAAAACTCTTGAGGAGTAGTTTCGCCATAGAAGAAGAAGAGGTAATAAATATCTTTTCTACGTATAGTGCAACTGTGGAAAATAAAATCTATCAATGCCGTTAAGAGTCCAAAGGTTAAACATATCATGTCTAGAAAATAATGTCTGTACAAGATGGTGCCCGTTTGTATGTATACATTCACTGGACCTCGTGCATGGCATTTTCCACTCCTTCAAGGACTGGATCGTGCCGGAGCTGAAGCCATCGGTTGCGAATTCAGTTTATTGAAAAAAAAAAATGATGGAAATTACGTAACTGACGACCCTAGTTTTCTAAATAACTTTTTAATATCGAACGAGACACATTTTCATTTCAGGAATGTATATACAATTGAACACCATCTTACAGGCACTTATTTTAGGACATAATATTTTTAAACTTTGGACTACTTTTAACGCGGTATAAAATGTAGACATTGTTTTCAATAAAAAAAAAAAATTACGATTTTTTTTCTGTGAGGGTTTTTTCAAATTCTCCCATTATTTAGAAAGACTACAGTATCCGCTGTGCAATATACGTAGTATTTTTCCTTGTTGGAGCAACCATTGCGAATCGGTCCGGACACGCTCGCCGTTTTTAGAGGACGTCCGGACTTCAGATGAAAAGATAACATTGGCAAACGACAGCAAATTTATGTGTATGATGTGTACGCGACAGTTTTTAGGGTGTATTTATTGTCATCGATGTCCATTGTGGTGATGTTGATGTGTGAAGCGTATACGAAACATAATATCATAATATCAATTATATTTAATATCGTTGAGGTTAACATTCATGTATACACAATATGTGTATACTATTGTTATTTTTGCTCTTTGTCGCCATCCAAAACTATTTACGTTTAACCTTACCATGTGTCATTCTATAGCCTTTTAATAAACATTTAATGTAATATAGATTCAATGTAAGTTACCACTTATATAAGAAAAATTTGAACACAAAAATAATCGTTAACAAATTTCAATTAGAAATCCGGACGAGTAAAAAGAGACCAATAAATAATGTGTGTGAATCGTTGACTTATTTCAATTTAGTTATTCCTAAATTATTTAAGTACCTATATTATATTGGACAAGTTCACGTAATGCACTAATTACAATATATAACTTATCAATTTTCACGCAACACAATTAGTATTTTCGCAAACATTTGACTATTTGAAAGTTTATAATATACTAAAATATAATTTAATTTAATATATTAATTATATTCATATTTATGTGAAACCAATGTTAGTCTTTTTTTTCTACAATTAACAGCTATTGGTCATTATTATTTTAGTAAATATTATCTAATAGTTTGTATTCCAAAACATATATTTGTGTTCAGATTTTCGCTCATTTGAGAATAAATATTAAAACGTGACATACTTATTACTAGCTAAGTACAATTATTTGTTGAGTCATTTAGTTAAATGTGAAAATAAATATATTTTAATCTCGGTTTATCCAATTTCTCTTAATTTTAGATTCTGAGCGGAGTGAGGAGTATAATGGTTTTACAATGATGTTTATTTCTTTTTTTTTTCTTTTTTATTCTGTTAACACTTTTTCTCCCTCTAAACTTACTCAAAAGTATCAAATATAGCATCTTTTCTGAAAGGTAATGTTCTTGAGCTGGTACTTTAGAGAGGTAATTTTTCGATTTTCGAAGCGGTATTCGAAATAAAAGAGATTAAAGGAAAAAAACGTACGATATCATGATTGTATAATATAAAATTATTACGGACGACATTTTCTACCAGAAATATTTCTTCAAGTGAAAAATTACAAGAAATCTTTTTTGTTGTATTTTAGATTTTGTTCCTCATGGTTTAAAGTTCGGAAAATTTTAACTATTTATAAACATTTTAACTTTGGGAGTTCTTTTTATTGTAATTCGGTTAAAAATATTCGTAAAAATTTAAAATATGAGTTGTTTACTTATATTATTCTTACCTAGACATGGTAAAATTTTCAAAACATTTGAGTGACTTTTGAGCTTTTTCTTTTATTTTATATTTTTTTTTTCATTTTTATATTTCCTAACTATAAATTATAATTATAATTATATAAATTACCTATTTATATAAATTATTCTTAAGCTGTTCTTAAAACGCTTTGTTTATCACCATAGAATCGAATAAAATTAAATAAAAAAGATTCCCTCGTCCGCTCAGAATCGTTTTTTATCGAATGCAATCATTACATTCAAGCCGAAAACAGTAAAATTACACTATCGTTTTCGAGTTTTTTAATAGTTTATATTAATTTTAAATTTAAATGTTTATCTTATTTATTGTAAATAAACAAGTTTTGCTATTATCTTATTGTATTAGATACTGCGTTAAAGTCTTACGGATAAGTACTTGCCGTAATATAATAATACAGCATTATTTTTTTGTCAGAAAAATATTTTATATAGAATATAATATAAATAGAATTTAATAAATCGTAATTATACAAGACTGGTCTAGATTTATATATTTGAAATAAGTTATGCATTTTTTTATTTATAGTTTAATACTAGAGTAGGATTGTTATTGTTTACATGTGAATTTGTATTTGGTATAAAATTGGATAGCGTATAAAATTATGCAAAATATGTGTGTTATATGCGTAGTTTTGTTTCTACATTATTATTTTAATTAACCTACATAGTTTTTATTTTTTTATATTATTTTAGTCTTACATTTACATAAGGTCAAGTGAATCATTGTGGTTATCTGGTTATCAATTAATTACTTGAAAAGCAAAAATATTAGTAAAATTATAAAAAAAAAAAAAACCCTGAAAATGAATTTTTATATATCTTGTTATATAATTAATATTTTTCTGGAAACAATCCTATTAACATGTTTCCTTCACACGGTTTTCGATAAACCAAATAACGCGCTTTCATGGTTTGCATTGAACGTATTCATATTTTTCGAATTCAAAGATTTATGGATTAAATTATATATTATTTTTGTTATAAAAATGGCTAAAATTCCGTCAGAAATGATGATTTCAATTATTGATAATCATATTTTGTGGTGGTAACTGCCATTATTATTATATGCAGCGTATAGGTACATCGATTATTTCGAAAGTAAACAAAGTGTACCTATATAGGATTTTCTAACAAGAAACTAAATTAACATTGACACGTATATGTATTTTGACAATACAAAATATTATATAGACCATACAATGGTATCTTATTATAAATCGTCGAGGACGAAATGTTATGCAGTATTGTAATATAATGTTATTCTTGGACGGAAAAATATTATTTCGAACGATGTCTTTCGATTCCTATATTATACTTTACATACTTGTATCAAGAAAACACACGATCGAAAATCGACGATCTGGAGAAATGTGGTGCGACTCACGATTGCAACATTGCGTTTACGTATATAATATGTGCGTGACCTTTTCCGTTGTCTGCGGATCGTATATTAAGTTCAATGCAATAATATTAAACAAAAAAATAATAATAATATTGTAATCATCACTGAAATTTTCTAGTGCAATTATTGTTAAGACTTGTACATGTTTATGTATTATTGTACATTATACACACCTCGTCTCCGTCCTAGGTCGTTGATCATGATCATCGCCGCTCCAATGGTGCATTTTTATGCATACGTATACATATAATAATTTTTGTTATATTTCACCCGATTATTATATGGTTATTAATATTAAACGCGCCGGTGTTCACGATCGTCCCTGAACCGGACTTACCAATACCGTGGTTGTGAAACATATACATGCGTGATCGGCACACATTTCCGCGCAAATCCGTGAAGTCGCACGAGTCGAACGGATGAAATGGAAAATAATTAATCATCCCTTTTCGGTAGACGACAGAACGCTGTCATTCCATACATTTATTTATTTTATTGATTTGTTATTATATAATACTGCCGTTATGTTTCATCGCAATCGGTACAGCATCAGCTTACGACGAATACAATTGCTACGAGCATACATACATTTAATATGTATATAAATACATTCTTTACTTCACTTAGAATATAAAATGTACATCTACTATTGTTCATTATCTCGATCGTTATGTGAGATAA